AAGAAAGAAAGAAAGAAAGAAAGAAAAGAAAAAGAAAGGAAGAAAGGAAGGAAGGGAGAGAAAGCAGGCACAAGTGTGCCAGGTCAGTGCCCATTGGAGTGAGAGAGAGCTCCCCACTGCCTCTGGGTGTGGGGGCCTCTGGAGCCTCCAACCACTTGCCTTCCCCCCCTCCGGGGGGGGGGGAAATGGTCCAGGCTGCTTAGTGTAGCTCCCAGAGCCCCTCCCTCCTGCTCCCCTGTACCGGGCTGGCTGTCCCAGCAGCAGGAAGTGAGATCTCCACCAGCATGCCAAGCCAACAGGAAGAGGCCAGGATGTGCACCCTAATCCCTGACTGCTCCAGACAGCAAAACTCCCACTTAACTCCTTGAGCAAGTGCCAAGTTCCTCAGTTTCCCTATCTGTAAAAGGAGGACTTCTGTTATTCCTGAACTAACTCCCAAGTATCACCGAACTGCTGGGAATATCAAATAGGACAAGAAGCATTCAGAATGGTGCTAGAAATAGCAAACTCTCTTTGCATAACCTGCAGTGCCCACCCCAGGGCCACGAACAGGTCAAGTGCTTAGTAAATGTCAGTGGAAGTAGGTGGAGACAGGTGGACATAGGTTCAAATGTGTATGACCTTGAACAGGTGATTTCTCAGAGCCCCAGAGTCTCATGTGTCAAAAGCAAGATAATGATGATGCTTGCCTCATAAGGCTGCTGCAGGGATTACATGGGAATAGAAGCATATACAATGGTAACATCGATGATTAAAACTGGCTTGTGAGGATAAAGAAGAAGTTGTATATATATGTATATATATACAAATTTATACACATACACGCACACACACACACACACTGGAATATTACTCAGCCATAAAAATGAACAAAAACTTGTCATTTGCAACAATGTGGGTGGAACTAGAGGTATTATGCTAAGTGAAATAAGTCAGTCAGAGAAAGACATATACCACATGATTCCACTCATATGTGGAATTTAAGAAACAAATGAGATGAACATAGGGGAAAGAAAAAAAGGAGGGAGGCAAACCATAAGAGACTCTTATTTATTTATTTGAGAGAGAGAGAGCGTGCGCTCGCACTCATACACGTGTTGGGGGAGGGGCAGAGGGGGAGAGAGAGAATCCCAAGCAGACTCCCCACTGAGTGCGGAGCCAGATGAGGGCCTCAATCCCACAACCCACAACCCTGAGACCATGACCTGAGCTGAAATCAGAGTCAGATGCTTAACTGACTGAGCCAGCCAGGCACCCCAAGAGACTCTTAACTATAGAGAAAAAACTGAGGGTTGCTGGAGGGGAAGTGGGGGGTGGGAGGGCACTTGTGATGAGCACTGGGTATTATATGTAAGTGATGAATCACTAAATTCTACTCCTCAAACTAATGTTACATTATATGTTAACTAACTAGAATTTAAATAAAAACTTGAAACATTAAAAAAAAATTAGGGGGGTGCCTGGGTGGCTCGTTAAGCGTCTGCCTTCGGCTCCGGTCATGATCCCAGGGTCCTGGGATCGAGCCCCGCATCGGGCTCCCTGCTTGACGGGAAGCCTGCTTCTCCCTCTCCTACTCCGCCTGCTTGTGTTCCCTCTCTCGCTGTGTCTCTCTCTGTCAAAGAAATAAATAAAATCTTAAAAAAAATAAAATAAAATACAAAATAAAAAAAATTAGGGGCACCCGGCTATCTCAGTCAGTGGAATGTGTGACTCTTGATCTCGAGGCTGTGGGTTCGAGCCCTACACTGGATGTGGAAATTATTAAAAATAAAATCTTAAAAAAAATAACTTGTGAATTGAAAAAGAGGAGTAAAACAAAGTCCTTGCTCTCAAAGACTTAACAGTTGTGGCAAATAGGATTCATCTCTTTTGAGACACCTTCAGTGGGTTGGCAGGGGCAGCCTTGAGCTCTGTGTAGAAGACTATAAAACCAGATCTACTCAGCATGAAGAAGGGATTGATTATCAATGCCTGCCATGGGACAGGAGGTGGGAATGTGGCAGCAGGTGTACAGCGCATATGCTGACCCTGATCTGGCTGGAGAGAAAGACACATAAGCAAAAACTCCGAGACCGGCCAAGCAACTTGTTTGGGGAAGGCAGAATCAGGAGCCATTCCACCAAGCCCTGTTATATTCAAGCCAAGCCTTGAAGGACATAGGGAAGGAAGGTCACTCTAGACAGAGGAAATAGCTTGAGCAAACACACTGAGCCTGGGTTGTGATGCTTTTGGCTGCAGAGAATAGGCTGCCCAATCAAAGGGCTTTGACAATAAGGAAAATATATTACCTTCAAGACAAGGAGTCCAAAGGCATGTGATTTCAGGGCTGGCTAATTGAGCAGCCCAAAATGGCATCAAGTTCCATACATTTTCGACTGTGCTGCCGTTATGGGCTGAATTATGTCTCCCTGAACTTATATGTTGAAACCCTAACACCTAGTACCTCAGAATGTGGCTGTTTTCAGAAATAAGGCCTTTAAAGTGGTAACCAAATTAAAATGAGGCTGTAGAGTGGGCTCTAATCTAATCGGACTGGTATTCTAAGAAGAGGAAATTCGGACACACAGAGAGACACCGGCGGTGCGCGCGCGCGCATGCACACACACACACACACACACACACACACACACACACACACACACGGAGGAAAGACCACACAAGGACAGAGCGAGAAGGCAGCCATCTACAAGTGAACGAGAGAGGCCTCAGGAGAAACCAACCCTGCTGACACCTTGATCTCAGCTTCTCGCCCCCAGAACTGTGAGAAAATACATTTCTGTCGTTTAAGTCCCCCAGGCTGTGGTATTTTGTTATGGGGGCCCTAAGAAACTCATACAGTTGGCCAGATGGCTGCAGTGGTTTTTGGAGTGATACAGACATGATGTCATTCATCATTATCCTGCTTTTGATGTCATCCGCCCTTGATGAGGCTGAAGATTTTCCCCTTCCTGTGTGTCTTTTTATTGTGCACTTGTCCCACAGATGCTTCAGAAAACTTCCCTTAGGAGTCTAGGAGCCAGATGTATTAGCCAGGATATATTTTGGCTGCAACAAAGACACAAATACCATTGGCTCAAACATAATAGAAGTTTCTCTCTTCTATCCCCTAAGCAGTTCAGGGCAGCATACCTGGGACTGCTGGGTCCGGGAACCAGGGGCTTCCTATCTTACTGCTAGGCCATATTGGGATTTTGTTCTCACCTTCAACACAGCTGCGGTCCAACCAATAGGAAGGATAAACCCAGCCGGGGAGAGCACAACGCCTCCCTTTAAAGGGATGACCCGTAACTAGTACAAAATTCTACTGCTCAATCCCACTGACTAGAACTTGTTTCCTTGGCCACAGCTAACTGCAAAGGAGGCTGGGCAATGTGGTCTTCTATTCTGGGGGGCCACCGGGCCCAACTAAAACTTCCTTTATAGACAAAAGAGAGCATGGATACTGGGGAACACATAGCAGTCTCTGCCTCACAGAATTGAGTCATATGCCCCTGCCACCACCAATCCTAGGTCAGGGGAATGATCTTGGACCA